TAACTGTTTTTCAATGTTTGAACTATTTTTGCATAGACTAAAGCACAAAGCAGTGAAAATCATTAATAGCAGTCGCTCGATGGGCTGAACTGCACAAAACGCATGATCGCACCGGCTAGTCTGGTGCGCGTTGCCATTTATTCAACATTTCGACTATATGCATAGACCAAAGTGCAAAGCAGTGAAAATCATTAACGGACAATCGTTCTGTGGACGGAGTTGCGCAAAGCGCATAATCGCGCCGGCTATTCTGGTGCGCGCTGCTATTTATTTGTATATATGTTGATATCTTACCGGCTGCAGTTCATGGTCTGCTTCTTCCAACATACAGCTGGCAATTTCTCCATTTTTTTTCGCCTCGGTTGCCTCGCTTAGTGGTCAGTCTGCTGGCGATCCTAACATGCCCTTTCGTCTCCTAAAGGGTTTGCCAACTCAGCGCTTTCAACGGGAGTGCTTGTTGAGGCATAAGTCATCTCGAGGTGTAACTAATGTATGTCGAGAATCACTACTTTCTAGACTACGATACACAACATATCATATACGCATATATATGTGTAAGCAATATGTATGCATATGTATATTACTGCCAAAATTGTACACATATATGCACACAATATATATGGTAATTCGTGGCTTTGGTTCGTCATATATATGTATATATTTATGTATGTGTACACATATATATGTATGCATACGTATATATGCATTACATATATATATGCACATATATATATATATATATGTATATTTACTGCAAGGATTGTACACCTATATATGTATGTATACAATTTTTACAACAGCAGTACTTTGTGGTTTTTGTTTAATACAGTTAAAATATACGTGTTGTAGGTGAGTGCTGAAGCACGTGAACAGCAGACGCCATTACATATTGCTTCTCGTTTGGGAAACACCGATATCGTTGTGCTGCTACTGCAGGCCGGTGCATCACCTAATGCTTGTACGCAGGATCTCTACACTCCACTTCACGTCGCCGCCAAAGTATCCTCTCTCTACATTTAATTGAGCGACAAATTGTAATGACAGTCAGTTGTACTTGCAGGTGTAAATTTCAGTGCACGCATTATCGAATATTT